CCTATTTTAGTTCTCTATTATGAATGACAGGTTTAACATTCTTAGAAACCGTAGGAATATAATGATTACATCTTTAAAAGCCTCCAGGGATTACTGTACATTAATGTATCAGAGTCAGTAAATTATTTATCTATAAATTAATCTTTCTAAACAGATTTCCATCCCCCTTCAATTTGAAAGCTAAACTTCTGAGTCTCCACTTCAGCAACTTCATATTTGAAGAGCCTACATCTGTAAAAACATTTCTAATGAAAACACTAAGACAACCCCCGGAGAAGCAAATAAAATGAGATTTAAGTATATAGCAGCCTTTCTACAGTTACATTCCTAACAACAGCAGATTCTAATTTGATGCCAAACAGAGGTTGTGTAACAAAATCAGTGCGCAATCTGGTTCTTTTGGTTTCAGCAACAAATTTAGGTAGTCAAGTAGTTCTGTCTCGATTTCCCCATCTACCCAAGATAGGTGAATGACATCTGCCTCCCCTGTCATGGAAGCAGAGGGCCCACAGGCCAGGAAGAAGCACGATTGTGCTCTAGAGCAAGTGGCAGAAAAAGTGCATGCTGGAAAGTCTAGGATCTAAGGGCTGTGCTAAAATTGCCAAAATACAAATGTCAAAGATGGATTTAAATTTTCAAGTCATAATTAAAAATTACTCAACCAGACTTTAACACTTCCACACAAAGCACTCTATCAATTAATAGGACCATCAGTAAGACTACCTACCACCAACAAAAAGAAAGATACTAAACCTAATTTAGGGAACTAGTTGTAAACAAACAAAAATTCTGTCTCCAATGTACATCTATGGTCGGAACTAACTGCTAAATTACAAAAAACAATGACTCTGTTTTATTTTTCTTGTCATTAAGGATAACAAGACCTTCATTTTATAAAACGTGAAGGCAGTAAAATTCTAAGCTTCAAGGATCCTCCAATTTACATTTAGACTTGGGATTTAAAAGTAGACATTAATTTTAACTAATTTCAGATTTTGTTAACCAAGATGCTATAAACATACAATGAAGCATCTTCTTTTTTCTTTTCTTTTTTTATTATTTCAGCATATTATGGGGGTACAGGTGTTTAGGTTACGTATGTTGCCTTTGTCTCCCCTTCCCCACCCACCCCAGTCAGAGCTTCAAGTGTGTCCATCCCCCAGACGGTGCACATCGCACTCATTATGTTTGTATAAACCCATCCCCCCTCCCCCCTCCCACCTGCCTGACGCCCAGTAAATGTTGTTCTTATATGTGCACTTAGGTGTTGATCAGTGAAACCAATTTTCTGGTGAGTACATGTGGCGCTTGTTTTTCCATTCGTGGTATGAAGCATCTTTGATCCATTCCTACAATCAAGGAATGTCAAGATAGTATTGTCAGGAATGATTTGACAAGTGACCCTTTGTGCAGAAACCTTTCAGCATGAGAACACTGAGTAAGCAGATTTGAGGCAGAGTTTGAAGCAAACTTTTGTTTAAAAATCGTGGTAAAATATATAGAGCACAACTTTACCAACTTAACCATTTTTTAAGTGTTCAGTTCAGAGGCATTAAGTGTATTCACGATGTTGTGCAACCATTTCTGCCATCCACAATTCAGAACGTTTCATCATCCCATACCCATGAAATAGTACCTCCCTTCCACCTTTCCCTTAGCTCCCCCGAGCCCCTGGTAACCTATATTCTACCCTCTGTCTCTATGAATTTAAAGCAAACTTTTTAAAAAAGCAAAAACAATCCAACAAACAGAACCCCTCAACTTCTATAGGGCCTGGACATTCAGGCCGCAAGTTCATGAACCTGTCAGTGAGGCTGGGGGCACTTATTTGCTCAGCACCTCAGTTGAAATTTTTTATGTCTGTTTTGACAGGCAGCCATACACAATTATTTCTTCATTTCTTTATGAATTTAGCAAATACTGAGTGCCTATATATGGCAGGCACTATTTCAGTTCTGGCATATGGTAGAAAGTAAGATAGACCTGGTCTCTGCCCTCACATACCTTATATTCTGGTTGACTGTGTTTCCCGTTATCCCCAAACTCCATAAAACGTGGAAAAGTGTGCAATTTTGATAAGATGCCAATGGCATGACACATACCGTGTGTCAATAATCCATTTCCAGCACTAGAATTGCTAGAACATTATCTACTTTCCACTATTATTTTTGGTCGATGCTTTATAGGTAGGTGACGGATAAAAGAACAGTTGAGCTCTATTCTTAACTGATGATGAATGTTTGCCTTTATGTTGGCCTTCTGGATTTTTGTATCATTTAATTCAATATCTGATACAATGTTATGAACTGTAGAAACTAGTTATGGAAGAATTACATTTAGATTTTCTAATATCTTCTATTTTAAATATCAAATTTGGGATTCTATTTATATAAAATGTCCAAAACAGGCAGAGCCACAGAGACACAAAGTAGATTAGTGGCTGCCCAGGGGCTGGGGTTGCGGAGAACGGGAATTGACTACTAGTGGGTACAGGGGTGATGAAAATGTTTTAGATTGTGGTGATGGGTGCACAACCTTGTGAATACACCAAAAACCCCACTGAACTGTATACTTTAAAATGGTGATTTTTGTGGTATGTGAATTAAATCAATATAAAAAAACGTTCAGGTACTCAGTCAAGCTGGACACAACGGTAGTGAGATCATATTTTATGAGTCCGTGTATAGCTACCAGAGGCCCCTTCCTGCAGACCGTAAGAACCGGATCAGGGCGTTCTGAGGTGGCTGCAGACAAGCAACACAGGCTGGGGCCGTCTGTGAACTCAGATTAGGCCGGACAGTGTCTGCACAGGAGGAGGAAGTAGAGGAGAAAATCATCTGGTCAGACTAGGCTGTCTTTCCCTCAGCAGAGCCCCTGAAACATCCTTAAATCACACTCAGATTCCCACATCTGTTTGCAGCAACAGGAACTCAGGTCCAGATGGAAATTACTAGGCTATACCTGTGAAAGAACTCTTAAAAAAGTTTATACAGACAGGGTATTATTTATGCCTGGTAGATATGATGTACCCCTCCTACGCAGTACATGCCTTCCTTAAACACAGAGATTAGGATTTCTCCATAAAAACTCAGAAATTTTAAAGGTAAATTTTATTTCATCTTAAAATATTTGATTAAAGGTCTCCTGTTATAAATGTAGCAATTAGGAAGCTTATTCGCCCACCCATCGCCCAACCACTCACTCGTTTATCTACCATGGTCATACTCATTAACTCTTAGGCAATTCAGTAAAGCGATCTGTAAATGCGTTAAATGCCACTTACAAATGGAATGAATGCTGCTTAAGGACTAAAAAAAGAGTGTTAAAATTTCAGACTCCCCTGATTTTAAGACATAAAAAAAGTATCTGAAATGTAAACACTTGAGAAAAAACAAGAATACAGTGACTTGAAACAGGAAGGGCTGAGCATTTGCCTACTCTGTTTAGAAACAAAAGTAATAGACTGCTCAAGAACGCAAAGATGCATACAATTATGATTTTATTTGTTAAATTACAATAGCCAAAAGAGCTTTACAGTAGGCAAAATAAACCACCATCCATTTTAGAAAAGTCCTTTTTGTTTCTTTAAATCCAAGGCCCCCTCTAGTGTTTGAAAACAGTCACAGGCAGCACACAATGCAACTGAAGGTCAACAGTCATAGAATTTTACCCAGGACTTTCCACAACAAAAAGAATACTTCTATTCCATTCATGTGGCACAAAAATCACTGAGAGAATATATCTAACCATAATTAATATTGTAAATTCCGCTATGATTCACAGATTCATCATCCTCTCATTCAGTAATTTCTTTCTCTCTTATTTACTGCTGGGTTATTTTTATAAGATTAATACTTTGTTAATAAGAAAAAATATAATGAGTATAAGGACTTTAATTTCCTTAATAAGAAATATATCTTGTTGAAAATGACAGAAAATTAATGTTATCAAATATCCTATTCTGCTTTTATGGAAGTTATTGGTAACTTCCTAAAGTATATACTTAAATTTATTACATTTGGAAATCAGAATTTTTTTTAAACTATATTTTAAGACCCAACCTAATCTGTGAATTTGCTAAAACTTTTTCAGTACTCTGTAACAGGAGGTGGCAAGTGTTGCTTTGAGGACAAATGTTAGCTCTGAAGAGCATGATGCAAAGGAACTCTTGTCTATACCGATGTGACACCACATAAATCCAATGACTTAATTTCATATGCTTTCGAAAAAGACTGATTAAAATTAGGGGGAGTAAAAAATAGTTGATTTTCACTCTATTTTTTCAGCTAAAGTCTTTGTGTGTCTTTTCCCATGTTCTATTACAGAGGGTTTGATTTAACAACTAGTATTATTATCACTGGAAAATAAAAGGAAATCTCTGATGTTAACAAAAGAAAACAATGCAAACTCGAGCAGGGGACTCACAGAGAAGACCATATTAAGCTACTTCATGTTCTTAAAAGTTAAGAGTACACTGAAAATTTGAAAATTCAATAGCTCTTGAAACAAGTTTAGTCTGTATTAACTTTGATTAATTTGTCACTCAATATGTCATGTGGCTTCTCTGTATTGATCCTGCTTTATTTTCAAGGTTGTCACTTGCAAATATTACAAGTTAAGGAAAAAAGGTTGTCTAAAATGAGTTAAACCAGTTACATTTATAATTGGTCTGAATTTTTAAGATATCTACATTTAAATGGAATAGGACACAGCATTTTTTAAAGTGCAACATATATTCTTTTGGCTCAACATGAAAAATTAAATAACTGAAAATTACTGCAATTATTTCTCCTACAACAAACCTAGTGAAAAGCTGTTTTGAAAGATAGCCATCAGATTATAAACTATGAGAAACACTAAAAAGTCATTTAAAATGAGTATAGAGAATGCATATTACAAATAAAACCAGCGTGGGAGAGGTAGCATGAAGTAAATACAATCAAATAAATACTATACAATAACATATAAAATTTTGCATAAAAAACCTGAAAATAACATTTTAAAGCATCCATTTTCTTCACTTTTAAGGGTTTTACAACGAAATTAAAATTTAGACTCGGAGTCTCTACAAAGATTTTTCCAAATGTTATTAATTACTGGCATTGTTTTTTGCCAAAATCTCTCTGATCTGTCGGTCAAGTTCGCTTATTATTCGATCCTCGTGATTATACACACCCGTTCTCATCAAAGTATCCCTTTCTTCTATTAGGCGAGTCAAATAATCATCCAGACCTTCTTCCAATGCATTACCATGTGGGCCATCCATTTTTCCACTTGCAATCTCTCTGGAATCCTGGTACTGTTTTTGTTCTTGTTGCCTTAACCTGAAAAGCCAAGAACAAATGCCACTCTAGCAACTGTTTCATTTTTCTGAACAGCACTATTTAAAAATAAAATGATCCAATGGTAAAATAAGTTTTTAGTAATATTTTCAGGAAGAAAACAAACAAAAACCAGTGTTCCACTTGGCTAGTCAGAGTCAGCATGCTTATAAAAGGCAGTTTTAAAAGCAGTTCTTGCTTTCTAATTATAAAATACATGAAAACTGTGGATATTTTTGGAGCTGTGTAAAGAAGAAAATAAAGTGCACATATATTTAAAAACGTTTTTTTTAAAAAAAATTAATGAGACAACATACACAATGCTTTCTTCACATGTTTATATAGTGAATGCTTTTCCTGTATCAAGTGTTCTTCCAAACGCCTTTTTTCCATCATTTGGATGTGCCATCATTTAATCATTCTTTGTTGATCTTTAGGTTGTTTTCAAACCTTTGTTATTGTTTTGAACATAATTTTTTCTTCCAAATTCATTCAACAAATATTTATTTGTACCAAACAAGTTTGGGGATACCGCAGTGAACCAAGAAGCAAAGTCCCTACTATTACGGAGCTTATATCTCTAATTATTCACAGAAAGTGAAATTCTATAAAACATCAATGTGAGGTTCAAAGGGCATGGACATGCTAAGGTTTTGTGTGGATATCTTCGAGTTATGTTTGTGATGATCTCATCTGGAGATGAAGAAAGGAGAGTAGGTGCTGGCCTGGGATTTGGGTATTTCCAATACAATATTGTTGATCACACTGTTTTGAAAATGGAATGGTTATAATACTTAATATATTTACTCTGTTATAGTAACACTAAGTTTGGATATGGAATGTTTTAATTTAGAATGTATAATCAAAATATAACTTTATATTCCTCTGTATAACTGGCTACAGAAATGTTTTAATTTGCAACTATTCCTAAATTTTGTCCTGATAAGATAAAGTAGTTGAGTGTAAGCCCCTCCTTCAAGATCGTCTTCAGAATAAACAAGCCAATGAGAAGTCCACTTCTGAATTTACACATGGAGTGGGGGAGAGGGAGGAAGAAGCAGTGAGGACAGGTCCTGCTTTGCCAGACCAGGAGGACTGGGCTCCAGAGGGCACATGACTGTTGGCAGTGTACAATTTCATTTGTTCAGATGACCCTTTGAAACATGAAACTCCTACAATTCCTCACAAGAGAAAAAAAACCCTGTAGGCCAGGCGCAGTGGCTCATGCCTGTAATCCCAGCACTCTGGGAGGCCGAGGCGGGAGGATCCTTTGAGGTCAGGAATTCAAGACCACCCTGAGCAAGAGCGAGATCCCGTCTCTACTAAAAATAGAAAAATTAGCCAGGTCTGGTATCACGTGCCTGTAATCCCAGCTCTCCTACTGAGGCAGGAGAATTGCTTGAGCCCAGGAGTTTGAGGTTGCTGTGAGGTAGGCTGACACCACGGCACTCTAGCCCAAGTGACAGAGCGAGACTCTGTCTCAAAAACCCCTGAAGCATACAGTAGAAGAAGGATGCCAAACATCTTCATCTAGTCTAAGAAAAAAAGCCTAAATATTGAGGGGTACTGTGCTCTGGGACCCGGGTGGGAAATTAGTGGTTAATGAGATACTGATACCAAATCTTTCCACTGAATTTGAGCAATTCATGTGGACGGATAAGGGCAGATTTCTGAAGAGTGTTTCCCTACCCTAATTCTTATGGCTACCTTGGGGAAAGGGGTCCTTTAGGTAAATTAATGACACATAATGCCAAATTATTTACTTTTACAAAAAGTTTAACCATTTCCCTTTTGTGCATTATCTGTTTATACATGAAGGACAAATGTAATTCTTACACAACTGATGGATCATCCCTACCAAATTTTTACAAAAATGAAAATTGTCAGTCATGATCACAATAGAATTTTAGAACCTGGTAGCTGAAGAAGCCCACAGAGTTATGAAAGGAAACTCTGGTAACATTCCTGACAAGTGCCGTCTAGATTCCACTCACACGCTTCCTGCCACTGGGAACCTACTACTTTGTAGAACTGCTCTGTTAGAAAGTTCCTTATTTTGAACTCGGTATGCCTCTTTATACTTTCCAATAATTGGCTATGATTCTGCTCAAGAGGAGAAGCCTACCTACTTGTTTTTAATATGGTGGCCCTCCAGATATTTGAAGATAGCTATCTACCACTTTGCCTAAGAATTCTCCAAGTTTAATATCCCTCACTCTCCTAACCACTTCTTGTATGCCATATATCGTCCCTTACTGTCCTGGTCACATTCCATCGGAAGCTCTCTAGATACCTGATTTTCCTTGAAGTGTGTTGCACATTGCTATGAATACCCCAGAGGTGATTTTTATCAGTACTGAATACTACTTCTATGAATGTCCCTGACTGCACTGACGCTTTGGCAGCCAAATCACACTGTTATTAGTGGTCACTTAAATCCTCCTGGGCTTCCTCACATAAACTGTTTTACTATGTCTTATCTATTAAGTGAGTTTTCCTGTAACTTACATAGAGGACTCTGCTTTTGTTTCTAATATATTTAATCATACTGGTTTCAGTTCTTTCTGAATCCAAATTTATTAAGACATTAGTAAGATTCAACTTTGTATGATCTATGAATTTGATAGGCAAAATGGCTATGTTCACTTAAGCCACCAAAAGCAGGGGCTTAGTATGTATTTGCTAAACTGAAACCAAAAAAGTGCTATATATGACATCAAAATTTTGGAAGGCAAGGATCATGTTATAATGCATTAATTTGTAACATCTTCCAAGTCTACAACACTGTAGACACCAAATAAATATTTGTTGAATAAAAGAGAATAATAGTTGCATGGATTGAATTAGAGTTGACCTTTTACAACTGTTTATTCATTTATCTTCTAAATAGTTATTTAATTCAGCTAGGAACCCACCTTATATAGTGAGTGCACTATACATGGAGACACAATGGGATACTCTGTCAAACATACATGTGTATGCACTAAACGGTGCCTGCCCCCCATCTCTGATTCATATGTTTAAACCTTAACCTCTGATGATGGTATCTGGAGATGGGCCTTTGGGAGATAATTAGGTTTAGATAAGGCCATGAGGGTAAGACCCTCGTGATGGGATTAGTGGTCTCATTAGAAGAGACACCAGAGAGCTTGCTTGCTCTCTCTCTCACTACGTGAGGACATAGCAAGAAGCTGGCCCCCTAAAACCAACCATGCTAGCTCCTGATCTTGGACTTCCAGCCTCTAGAACTCTGAGAAAATAAATTTGTGTTTAAGCTACCCAGTCTATATTTTGTTATGGCAGTCCAAGTTAACTAACACAGCGCTTTGCCGAAACAAAACTGTAACAGTCCCTTGATAAATTAAGCTGAAAAGTCTTCCTCCAAAACTACCTTACAAAAAGACTATAATTTGTTTTTATGTTGCTTCCTAATGATTTCTTTTATAACATGAAAGACTGTTAAAGTTATGATTAAGATGAACATGACACTACAAAGAAGCCCACTGTAGCACAGCAGTTAAAAATGTAATCTCTGGAATCAAATTAGAACTCTGGCTCCATGATTTACTAGCTGTGTGACCCTGAATAAGATAATTAAGCCTCTGTTTAATCATCAATTTCCCTCTCTAACATTGGGATATCATCCTCACTGAATTGTTTTGAAGATTAAAAAAAATTGAGATGGGCATATAAGCCATTTTAAAATAGCTCCTTGACACACAGTAAGGGCTTAATAAATAAGAGCTATTATATTGCTAATATTAATAATAAAACTAAATTTGAAATTTCTTATTTTATAATTCAAAGTTCAGTTTAATAGTAGCAATAATCCTGAAATAGTTGAATAAAAATGAATTTTAAAGTACTAATGCTATAAATGGAAACACAAGAGCTAAATAGACATTATAGCTATATTCATAGCAAAAAAAAAAACAAACAAAAACTAGGTATAATGGTCTTAGATATAGATTTTCCATTATACAAGTCTGCTACATTTTATATACGATCTACTTTATCCTAGAGACACCTGAAATTGTACCTTCCCCGGACCAGTGACTAATTAAAAAGTTGCCCTATTAGAACTTTTGTTTTTGTAAGAAACAAGAAACACTTTTATTTATTATACCTGTTCAATTCATTTCTTATGTCCAACAATTCTTGTCGCTCAGTTTTTACTGTATCTTTTTCCTCAGCAGCCAGGTAACGCAGTCTCATCTGTTCCAATTCTTCTTGCTGTTTTTTAAGACGAGCCATTTGACTTTCTTGCTCCCTCTTGAAAGAAAGAAAGAAATAAGCCAAATCCCTAATATTAGGAATAAATATATTTCATGACTTTGGCTTGTAATTATAATCCTATTTGACAATACCCATAATATAGCCATGCACTGCCAATTCTTTTTTTTTTTTTTTTAAAGATATGAGGTCTTGATATGTTGTCCAGGCTGGAGTGTAGTAGCTAGTCACAGTTGCGATCATAGCACACCACAGGCCTGAATTCCGGGCCTCAAGCAAGCCTCCTGAGTAGCGGGGACTACGGGTGCACACCACTGCACCCAGATGCTATGTACCGCCAATTCTATGAGTCATATATTATCTAGAAATGCCTAGGTTTTCTCTAAAAACTGGTGATGGATGTTAGCTGAACATCATGGGATAAAAGAAGTTGAGGGCAAGAAAGAGGCTGCTGTCAACACAATAAACTGCCACAAGGACCAGTGGTCAGAGCTACATCTAAGAAATGGTTAATTATACAAAGATGTATATAGAAAAATTCAATAACTGTCCCTATACTGATCACTAATTCTACTCCCACTTCCACTCTTTTCTCCAGGCTCATGCAAAAACCTATGCACATTTTTTTTTTAAAACAAAAATAGAATCAAACAATACAATTTATTTTACATTTAAAAAAATTAAACAATTCCTCCAGGTCAACAGATAAAATCTTTTTGAATAAATGTGTAACATTCCACAGAATGGACATTCCATGACATTCAACCATTCTCTCAATAACAGATGCTTTTTGTACTACAAACAGTGCTGTAATAAAACACCCTATCATCTAACACATAGCTCATGAATCTTTAAGTGCTTTTCTTTCTTTAGACAGAACGCTAAAGTGGGAGAGCTGGGTCAACAGACATATGTAATCTATTTTTTTAAAATAAACTTATTGATTGGACTATAACAAACAGAAAACTAATAAATCAAAAGATACATTTCGATGAATTTTCACAAAGTGAACCACTTAACCACCATCCAGATCAAGAAATAAAAGATTGTCAGAACCCCAGAAGTCCCTCTGTGTCTCCTCCCAGTCACTAACCACTCACCCTTTCCCAAAGATAACTACTACATTAATTTTAACATCACAAATAAGTTCTGACTGCTTTGAACTTTATATAGAATCGTACAGCATATATTTGTGCCACGGTTCTTTCCCTTAATTTTGTTTTTCAGATTCATTCATATTGTTCTGTGTAGTTAATCATTCACATTACGTATTCATTCCACTGCTGAAGGACATTTGGGCAGTTTCCACTTCTGAATTATAAATAATGTCTATGTGAAGATATTACACATGTCTTTTGGAACACATTTGTATGCATTTCTATTGGATATATACATAGGCTTCAAACTGCTGGGTCAGACAATATGAGAGTTTCAGTATTAGTAAATACAGGTTTGAATATCCCTATCTGAAACACTTGGGACCAGAAGTGTTTGATTTTGGATTTTTTCGAATTTTGGAATACTTATATGTACATAATGAGATATCTTAGACCCAAGTCTAAACATGAAATTCATTTGTTTCATATATACCATATATACATAGCCTGAAGATAATTTTATACAATATTTTAAATAATTTTGTGTGACCTGTCACATGAGGTCAGGTGTGGAATTTTCTACTTGCAGTGTCATGTCAGTGCTCAAAAAGTTTCAAATTTTGGAGCAGTTCAGATTTCAGGTTTTTGGATTAGGGATGCTCAATCTGTATTGCCAGTCTGCCAAAGAGTCATACCAATTTATACTTCCAGATGTGTTCCTGTGTTCCATATTCTTATCAACACTTAGTAATGTCAATTTTTTTACTTTAACAATTCTGACAGGTTATGTGGTGGTACCTCATTGTGATTTTATTTTGTTTATTTCAAAGACTAATTAGGTTGAACACATTTAAGTATTTTAATGGCATTTGGATATCTTCGTTGATAAAGTTCCTATTCAAATCTTTGGCATTTTTCCCTAGTTGGTTGTCCATCTTTTCTTATTGACATTTATACATAATGGGTAAATTCTTTGTCAGTTACATAAATTGCAAATATTTCCTACCAGTCTTTGTCTTGCCTTTTCACTCCTTTAATGGTGTTTTTGGAGAACACAAGTCCTTTAAGTTTAACATAGTCCAAATTTTTCTATTCCTTTTTGGTTAGTGTTCTTTGTATCCTATGAAAAATATATCGCCTGTTTCAGTCTTGAAGATATTCTTTCGTTACCCTCTTGAGGCTTCATTTAGATCAATGATTCATATGCAATTGGTTTTGTGTATGGTATGAGATCAAGATTCATTTTTCCCCATATAGAGAACTCCAACAGTCCTAGCAACATTTACTGAAAAACACCGTTTTCCCCCCATTGCTTGGCAGTATCACCTCTGTCCATATATGTATGGATTTGTTACTAGATGCTCTAAACAGATCTTTCTCTGTCCTTGCGTTAACATTACACTTTCCTAATTACTGTAACTCTTGTAATAGTAGATCTTGACATCTGATAGTATAAGTCTTCTAACTCTGCTGTTCTTCAAAATTATTTTAGCTATTCTTGGCTCTTGCATTTCCATATAAACTTCAACTTCCAGTGATTAAAAAAAAAGGCCTGCTGGGATTTGATTATGGTTATACAGACAACTTGGCCAAAACCAGTATCATTATAATATTAATTCTTCAATCAATGAACATATTTCTCTCTCCAATTATTTAGGTCTTCTTCACTTTTGTCTGATAATACTTTATAGTTCTCTATATGCTAAGACTAACATCTTTCTTTGATTGTAGTCCTAGATATTTGATTTTAGATGCTTTTGTAAATGGCAGTGTTTTAAATTTTCATTTCCTAATTATCTCTAGGAGAGAAATTGATTTTTACATATTTACTTTGTTTCTAGAAAACATGCTAAACTCATTTTTATAATAACAGGTCATCTGTAGATACTTTTTGGCTTTCTAAGTGTATCAGTGTCATCTGCAAAAATGGCAGCTTTATTTTTTCTTTTCCAATTGATACAACCTTTATTTCTTTTTCTCGTCCTATTACA